GTTTAATTATTAAAATATAATATAAGTATAGTTGATTTAATTAGTTTCTGCATGCTACATGCATAATTGAATTTTTAAGTTTATTTGTTTTTAATTTTAAACTAATAAATAATAATTTTTTAATAAATATAATATATAATATTTTGAACCAAAAAATATATCAATTAGTGTTTTAATTAGAAACGTGAAAAATGCTATTTCAATAAAAATATAATTATCATAAAATTTTGTTTGCAAACTAGACACTACTGGAAAACAGAGCATAAGCGACAAGAACATATTTGACAGCCAAAATGCTATCGATTATATACCTATAATCGACAACATAGTTGTCGAATATAAGATATTGTCACTTATGATGGAATTTTTGGTTCTTATTCAATAGCATACATATTCGACAAAAATATTGTTGAATATGCAAACATATTCGACAGAAACATTTTGTCGAACATGTATAATCGACAGCATTAAGTTGTCGATTATGTATTTTTCATAATCGATAGCACAACGTTTCCTCTGTATATTCGACAACAGCATTGCTGTCAAATATACTCATTGATAACCCCTTAATCCCCCTTTCTTCCCCATTTCTTCTTCTTCCTTTGCGGTGATCTGGTTTGTTCTCTGACGTTGTTCTTGCCGCCGTTGTTCTTGCTTCTTGTTGTCAAGCCCCTTGCTATCGGAATCTCCGCGTCGGTGATGGTGACGGTGAGTTGGCCCCTCTCCTAGTCGATTTTTGTTTCCTTGGATTTACAGTCAGCATTTGCATATTTCCTTGTAGATCCGTGCCTTTTTGGTCAAAATCCATCGCCTCTAAGCCACCACGCCTCCATCACCTTTTGATCCGTGCCTTTTGTAAGTTGCTGCCCGTGATTGTGAGTTTTTTTTTTTTTCGTTTTTGTTGTTGTTGGTTTTCATTGTTTTTTCTATGGATTTGAGTTTACAAGACCCCAATTTTCATTTTTTGTAGGTTGAAATCCAACTTTTATTGCGTTCACTGCCTCCACAGCCTACTGGCAGAGGTAATTGAGATTTTTGTGGTTTTTTTTGTACAAAATTTTACTATCTCATTTGTATATTAGTGTAAATTATTGCTACTATTGCATGAATTGTCAATGAATTGCAGTTATTTCTTTCAAGTTTTTGAAGTTGAAATTTGTACGTTACTTGAAGAGGTTTTTTTTTAGTAAATTTGTATATACAAAGTTATGGATTTTAGATTATTAAGTTTGAGATTAAGGTTGAGATTGATATTGAGATTGAGGTTTAAATATCTATAGTTATTGAAATAGAGTGATATTTAGATTGAATTTCTATTGTCACAA